AGAGAGAGAGAGAGAGAGAGAGAGAAAGATATAGAGGAGTCCAGAAAGCACTGCAGACGTAGGGTGGTGAAAATGACAGGGAGGGTGTCGTCGAAAGTGCCAAGGGTAGCCTTCCGTAGGCCTACTTAATGTATTCATGGTTCAAAGTCAAAGGTTTAGCCAATCATAGCCCGCTTTACGCCCTTCGTGTAGTCGCATGTGTGTGTATGTCAGGATCTAATATCTACTCTAGATCAAGTTTTTTAAAATCATGAAAGTATTGAAAGTAGATTTCTCCTGCAATGGATTTAGCGCGTACACCGAAGGATGAGTGTATTTTGTGTTTAGTGTCTAGATGAGATCTAGAATCGAGATCTAAAATCGAGATCTAAATCGAGATCAAGAAGAATCATGAAATGAAAGTAGAATCTAGATCTGTGATATTTCGATAACCTATTGAATATTGAAAGTGGATTTTTCTTGCTTTTCATTATAGATTCTAAGATCTAGATCTAGATCTAGGATAGATCTAGATTTAGATCTACATGTGAATATTAGATCGAGATCAAGAATGATGAAAGTATTGAACGTGGATTTTTTCCTGCTGTGAGAATAGATCTAGATTCTAGAACTAGGCTGCCTGTGAATCCAGATCGAGATCAGGAATCATGAAAGTATTCTGGAAAGTGGATTTTTCCTGCTATGAATTGATCTAGAAATCTAGGCCATCTGTGACGCCTGTCGGTTGTTAAAAATGTGAAGCTCTAAACTTAGATCTATCTATGGGCCTAGGTTCTTTCTTTCAATTATTGGCCTGTCTTTATAATCCTTCGAGATCTAGGCTAGATATAGAATCTAGATTAGGTTCTTCTAGGAAGCCACAATTGGCATGTAGGCCTAACTCTTTTTAAAAAAATTGATTGAGCTGGAACTTTAGGAGGAAAATGCCACGCCTTCAAAGAGGGGAAAGAAGTCTTACCGCTAGAGGTAATCAAGAGGGGGTGCTACATGGATAAATTCAAGGTAAAATATATATATTTTGTTTCTCTCCTGTTTTCAGTCTTTTTCCTCTTCATAACTTTCCTAATACTTATTCATTTTTATTCCGTTCGTAGAACGGGTGGTTTTACTAGTAGTAGTAATAATAATAATAATAATAATAATAATAATAATAATAATAATAATAATAAATAATAGCATTTGTATAGCGCATACCCCCGGTCAACAGCAAGCTATGAGCACTTTGCACTATATAATTACCCCAGCAGATCATGGAACGCTCCGAAACATTCTCAGCTTCCCGGGTTCATACAGTGCAAGCAGCTCATTAAGTGCTCAAACACTAACATACTGACAAGATATTTCGCAGTCTATAGCTGGGTTGCCAATCCCACCTGGGTGAAGTGAGGAAAATTCGTGTAAAATGCCTTTCCAAAGGACACATCGTCGGGCCCCTGACGGGGTTCGAACCTTACACAAAGATACGGGCCTGAACCTCACAGGATACACCTGCAGTTACGCCTGCACACGCACAGGATGCCGCGGTGTAGTCACTTACCTGCGAAACGATGTTCAGGGAGATGTAGTACACTTGTCATCTGCCCAACCGACAGATATCCTGAAGGCAACCAAATTGCACATTGGTAGGAAGTATATAAATTAAAATGTTTACAGCCCTCCAAAGACAACATGCGACTTGTCTGATCTACATACAGCAACCAACTACGAAAAAAAAACACATTTGTGTGGGTGGCTTCAATGGCCACTCCCCTGAATGGGGCTACACCAGCTATAACTGCACAGGCCAAAAGATCGAAGAGTTTTGTGAAGCCAGCAACCTATCTGTGTTGCAAAATGCCAACTCCACTCCTACCTTACTTCACAGAGCCCATTTGACTCTCAAGCGGCCTGATCTCACCCTCTGGTCATCTGACATCAAAAACTCCTTTCGCATCGAAGTGATTGATGATATAGGAAGTTATCACAGACCTATTTTTACACAGATCACCTCCCCACCTGCTTTGAACCACCCTCGGAGAACTCGATGGAACTTTAAGAAAGCCAACTGGGCAGAGTACAAAAAGACCTCTGACAAATTGGCTCTCTAGCATAGTAGAAACAGGTAATGCTGGTCTTTTTAATGAACAAGTCACTAAAAGTAATCTTAAACCTGCATCTCAACACATTCCACGGGGATGCAGAATAAATTACAAACCCTTTTGGAGTGAAGAAATCCAGACTGCTGTGGCAGAAAGAGAGAAGGCCAGACAGCTACTGGAAAACGCACCGTCACCAATAGCCAGAACACACTATAACAAGACCTGCGCTCAGGTGAAAATAACAGTTAGAAAAGCGAAAAATGAAAAATAGACTCAGACCTGTAAAGATCTTGACCTTCGCCACATGGAACAAAGGCTTGGCCCCTTGCCAGCAACCTCTAGGGAGAAAGACAGAAAAGCAACCCCAAACCTATTTTCCTTTCAGGCAGCACCATCACAGAAGACCAGAAGAAAGCCGAACATTTTAACCGGTATTTCTCCTCTATAAACAGGGCAAATAGACTAACTGGGGCGGGTAGACTCATCATAAACAAGGCTAAGTACGAAGAAAAAGCCCCTACCGTTAACAACACCCTTTTTATGAGGACTTCGGCATGATGGAACTTGGACAGACCCTAAAAAAAAATTAAAGCAAAAGAAGGCATGGAAGATCGCCCAGATCATACCGCTCCTAAAGAAGGGGAAACCACCCTGAGAAGCGAAGAGCTACCAACCTATATCACTAACATCATGTATCGGTAAGCTTGCCGAAGGAATAGTGAACAACCACCTTAACTGGTACCAGGAAAACCCCAACAGCTTGAACCCACTCCTAGCAGGCTTTAGAAAAGGCAGCAACACAGAAGACCAACTTTTCAAACTAAGTCAAGACATCCAGGATGGTTTCCAGGAGCCAAAACACACTGTCGCCATCTTTGTAGATCTCCAACAGGCGAACGACAGAGTGTAGAGAAAAGGCCTACTCGTGAAAATGATGGACCTCGGGATACACGGAAACTTTATAAATGGATCAAGTTTTTCCTAGCGGATCGAAACATCGAAACAAAGGTGAACAATGCCCACTCGTCAAGAGAAGTACTCGAGGAAGGCCTACCCCAAGGTTCCTGTCTGAGTTGCACTTTGTTCCTGATCTTCTTCAATGATGTAACGAACGTGCTGGAATCTGAAAAGACTCTCTACGCTGATGATCTTGCTCTCTGGCAGACAAATCACAGCACGGTGGTAGGAGCAGCAAAATTAATGTAGACCTCAAGAGGCTCCACAATTACTGCCAGAAATGGTCACGAAAACAGTATGCACCATCTTTACAAAGAGCCATAAAACAGCCAAAGAAAAACTCCAACTGAAGATAGGAAATGAAAATCTCCCCAAAAAAAACAACCAACGTATCTAGGAGTCAAACTCGACCAAAGTCTAACAATGAAAAGCCAAGTGGAGAGCATAAAGAACAAGGCGAAAAGAAGACTCCAACTTTTAAAGAAGCTCGCAAGCGGACCATGGGGATCAGCCTTGGTTGTGTCCGATCTACCCTGGAATACAGCAATAGCCTAATCACTGTGTATAGTGCAACCCTTGACAAGGTCCAAAATAATTCCCTTCGTTTCATAAACGGTGGCATGAGATCCAAACCAACTGCTGCATGTGAAATTCTTTCAAATGTTGAACCCCTACGAACTCGCAGAGATAAAGCAGTTTTGGAGCTCCATGAAAGAACCGAAAGAATGTACCCCAACCACCCAAACAGGAAATTAGTAGAAACATGGAAACCAAAGAAACGACTTCAACAAAAATCAATCATGCATCGCATCCTAGAACTAATGGAGAATTACCATCTACCACAAAACAGAAGAGAAACCAAAAGAGTCAACCAAAACATCCCAAAAACAATCAGTACAACATCTCTCAGAGACAAGGGCACAAAATCTTTAGACCCAGTGACCCTGATGCTTGCATCACATCAAACAATCGACATCTATTCAGATGACTGGATACACATCTATAAAGACGGCTCAGCATTCAAATGCACAACCAAAGCGGATATGGAATATAATACAATACCCAGAGGGAAGTTCCAATGAGATCTCTGCGCCTGTGGAGAGAAATGCAACAACTACGACGCAAAAAAGATAGCAATTGAAACAGCACTATACCATCTCCACACAGTTTTTGACACTCATCAAAACAAAACAGAGTACAGTGATTTTCACTGACTCACTATCAGTTTTGCAAGCAATAGAAAATGACCATCATCTAAACGAAGACTTGACGCATATACTGCTTGGCTCCCATCACCTGATAACATCCTGTGGCGTCAACTGGTGATGCAGTGGATTCCCGGACACTCAAACATACCTGGAAATGACAGAGCAGACACACTCTCCAAAAGGGGATCTAGACAAGAACAACCCAACATTCCAACTTCATACAACACTGAAAGAAACAAATCATTAAAAGCAACAGCAAACACGATTGGAGGAACAGATGGGTCTTGTGAAAGACAGGCAGAGCAGTTTTCAAACTTATGACTACAAAAAAAAACAACGAAATGACAATATCAACCACCTACAGAGGAAGAAACAGACCACGATCTTCCGCCTGCGAACAGAACATATACAGCTCAACTTTCACTTGAACAGAATAAAACCAGAATTTCCCCCAATGTGTCCTTTGTGGGACTATGCATATGAGACAGTTCAACATCACCTTTTCCACTGTACAGCCCTAAATGACATCAGAGCTCCCCTCCTCCCTCCAAGACCTAACTTCGACAACACACTCTACGGAACATTGCAGCAACGGCAACAAACCTGCACTTATCACCACATGGCACTGGACAGAAGGGCGAGAGCCCAGCTGTTGCTGGATCGATAACAACAACAACAACAACAACCAGTGGCGGCCTCCAACCACCACGCAGTGGTGCGCATTAGTACATCGAAGTTTTCATACAGAGTAAAAGTTGTTCCCGCATCCGATTCGGACATTGGGAATTGCCTTGTTAATGAGACAACTTCCTGGGCCTTCGGCATATTGTGAAAGGGTGGCCAGTTCCTTTCCACACCGCCTTTACTTCCCCAACTCGAAAACAGGTACCCATTACTGCTGGGTGGACAGGAGGGGGCGAAAAAAATCCGTGTCCGAACCGAGGCTCGAACCCGGACTTTCGCTTCGGAGACGAGCGCACTAACCGCTCCGCCACCACACCACGTAGAGCGTAAAGATCATATAATTGCCGACGATGAGAGGTGCTACAAGAGCAAGAGTAACAAACACAAAAAGAGAAGGAGAAGAGATAAGGACGATAGAAGGAACATTGTTGCGAACCACACCAGCGAGCAACCCCCAACCACCCACTCATAAGCTCCAACATAAGCTCCCAAGAAGAGACGGAGTAGAGATAAGGACGATATCAGATGTTTGACAGGAAAGAAAGAACAATAATGCTGCGAATTACACCAGAGCACCCGCCAACCACCAACTCATAAGCTCCAACAACACAGAACACACACCGGGGTTAGGCTAAGCTGCAATCACCAGATAGATCTAGACCTGTGTTGTAAATATTGCAAGATCAAGCAGAAGGCAATCTCCTCCGTCAGTCTGATGTTGACGTCTGCACGTACAGAATTCAGATAAGGACAGAAGTCTGTCACATTAAATGAGTGGGCTATGTCTTTTAGATATGCTCTGAACAATTGAATACGAATGGGTTTTTTGGGTAATTTCTTTTTCTTTTTTTTTTTTTTTTTTTTGGTAAATGCTATTATTCTTCTATCATTCCATCTTCTATTATTCATGCAAATATGCCCTGACCAACTTAAATAAGATTTTGTTTTTGTTGGGGGTGGGGGGGTTATTGTGATGTGGGGGTTTTTTGTTTTGTTTTTTTGTTTTGTTTTTGGGTGGGTTTTTTAAGATTATTTTTGTTGTTATCGTCGGTATTGTTGTTGTTGTTGTTGTTGTTGTTGTTGTTGTTGTTGTTGTTGTTGTTGTT